GACTTGATATTTGGTAGGTGGGTAGTTCTTGATAAGACCTCAAAATGATTAGATTTTGGGCCACCTGGTGGCTTGTCATGGTACTGCAGCAGAACTTCCGGTTTTGATATCTCAAGATCCAGACATGCTAGGGTAAACCAAATTTAGGTGGTAGATAGCTCTTGTGCTGGGGATGAAGTGACATGAGTTTGAGCCCCCTAGTGTCTTGCTCTGGAACTGCAGGGGGGTTTAAAGGACAAATGTTTAAAAGAGGATAACTCAAGAACCGATTGATGGGTCATCGTGATTTTTGGTATGTAGGTAGCTTAAGTGATGCTTAACATAATGATATAACAATTATGCAAATATTGATGTAATTTGCATAATTAATGAGGAAATTCTATAAATCAGCTGCATTCCATGATAGGAAGTTCAGGATTGTAACATATGTTATTAAGAACGAGAGAAACACAGGCAAATATCGATTATGCAAATGAAGACTTAATTTGCATAATTAATGAGAAAGTGTTATAATTGCATAGTGGTAACTGCCTGGAATTTCATACTTGGGGTGTTTGAAAGTTAAGTGAAGGTGAACATAATTAAACATAACTTATTACAAATAAGGACCACATTTGCATAATTTATGAGGAAATGGCATTCTTTGTTAAGATAAGACTGTCTTTTGGTGTAGAATATGATCAACAGACTGATATAATTCACGCAATTGAGGATCCTATATGCATAATCAGGGTGATTAGTATATTTCTTATTCATAAAGGCTAACATCATTTGGCGAAGGTATGAGATCGTGGAACTCTAGTTTTGAATAAGCCAGATTTGATACAAAAATTAGTGCATCGGAAGGCCACACCAATTAAATTAGTTGTTTGAAGCAACAGGGCGAGAATAAAAAAACAACAGGCCAATGCCCATGAAGGCCGGAAATGTTAGGATATGGGCCATGAAGCCAAGACACCAGGCTGGTTTATAATTAAAATAATATATTTTGAACTTTTAATGAAACAAAGTTGCATTGTTACATTGAAAAACTTTAAATAACTAGGTAGAAAAGGATTCTTCAACATTGGGACCAAAATACATGTATTGTATGTTTTTTTGTTTTTTTTTGAAAATCACAAAAAATGGACAGGGCCAATCCGAGAAACAACAAATTTAATTGGTGTGGCCTAATGAGGAAGATGTTGTCAGAGCACTACCAATCTTTTTCCATTGAGGTACTCTCCAACAACAGGTCTAGAGATTAGATATCACTCAGGGGACAGGTGATGTATTATCTTACACTACAGGGCCTGGTTTGACCACTGTGGAGTCAACCCATGGCAGTGGGGTCCTGAATACCTAAGAGCCACCAAGTTCCATTCAGGAATTGTCCAGGGTAAAAAATGTTTTAATGGTGACTCAGTTACATGTATTGAAGGGAGAGAATCTACTACAACTGTGGATTACCAGTACGTAAGCAAGGACTGAGTGTTAATTTGGCATGACGACCCCCATGCTAGAGGTCAGAGGAAGAGGACCACTTGTGTTACCCTGCCTGTCTACAGTCTAACAAGCTGTGATTAATGGGCAAGGGAGGAGACTGAGGGGACTGATGAAAAGTTGTCTCTTTACACAAAAGGCATAGCGACTAGATAGGACAGAGAACAAGAATGATTCCTGTCACACTTGAAAATGATGGGGTTGTCCCATAAAGAGATTGAACCATGTACGCCTGACACCCAATAGAGCCCGTGAGTCGCTGTGGCATGGTCTATGGAGAAAAATTCAGGACCAGATGGCTGACGGTCAGACCAATAGAGGTGGCTGCTTGGACAAGTTTGACTGTACCATATACGGAAATACTGGAAACAGTCTGGCATCAAGACTGACTTAGCAAGGACATTATCCTTGGTAAAGGATAAGAAGTATTAAGTATGTCAAAAATATGTGTAAAAATACTTACATTGTACAAGTTTTCAATACTACAATGTAATAACTCATCCTGCAATTGAATTTACAAGATTCAAAACGGCTGCCATTTTTCTGTAAGTTTTCAGTAGTGGACCTGAGCCACCAACATACCAGGGCAAGGGCTGTTAGCATGCTCTTCAAGTGGATGTGGGGTAGAAAATTGTGGGCTTGCTTCCTTGTCATGGCCTCATCTGCCAATTGCCTCATTATTCTTAGATAAATAAAGGAGGTTTCAAGATTATAAATTGTAGTGGTCCCAAAACAGCATGTGTCTGGCTTCTGGTGACACTTCATGTAAATGATTTATCCTCTGACCAGAAGGCACACCCAACTGCACTGTGAGGGTCTCCCAAGGATTAGCTTAGCTAATCCAGTGTGTAATTAAGACATATGTGAAGACTTTCTTGAGCCCTATACATTAAATTTGCACTTCATCCAGTTGAATACTTGGAATCCACTCTCTGACAATAACTGGAAACTTTGTATCAAACTGTTGAATCAATGTAGTCACTATTGTGTGGATAACACTACAAATTGAAAGCCTTTCCTACTCTTTGCCAAGATGGTTACAGCACGGTTTGTCCCTGTCTGTAGGTCTGTTAGACATGATTTGTGAATGTCTGATAGCTCTTGGCCTCCTGAAAAAGTGGTATAGGTTTGAAGCCCATGGCAGCTTTTTTGATTGCAGGGATCAACTTCATATCACAGTTACTATATTATGAGACAGATTGTTATGACTTTCGATCAAGTGACATACAAGTATGTAACTAAGAAATAGAGGAATGTCATGATGGAATTAAGGCCCTAGTATGGAACCATTATGATAAATCGTAAATGTAACCTGGTCTATAATTTTGCAAAGGTCATGGAACTCTTGTTGTAATGTATCGGTACATGACATTGTGTCTGATGACTTCCCCCATCCACCTGTAGGCCCACACGGTGTAAGGTCTATATAAATTAGTTTTGTTGTTTTCATAACGAAATGATTACTGGTAGTATTTATGATATAATGTCTAAATATGTCACACGCCAAAACTAATTTGATAGCTACTTTTTTTATATACCTGGGCCACAATAACATTCAATACAGGTGTTCCAGCCCATTTGATAACTGCCGGTAGAGCCCGGGGTTCTATCTGATTATCAAATGGTTGAGAAATGTGCCAAAATTTGGTGTGTACAAAACATGTCATGGCATCACTTTCAACATCCGAATTTGGTGTTCGAAGTTTCGAAAGAGACACACTCAGTATGCGCAAAACGCGTTTAAATCATTCTGGAACATTTTTAAGCCAGGGCCATACAGTAAAGATTCCCAGGCCATACTGCTAGTTACATGTACATTTTGTATCACATGGGCCAGAACACCCATATTGAACGTAATTGCGTCTCAGGCATTTCAAATGTTTATCATATTTTATGTCATACGTAGGCCGCGATTACGTTCAATACGGGTGTTCCGGCCTGTGTGATAACTAGCAGTACGACCCGAGGTTATAAATGTTCCATGGAATAATTTGAACGCGTTTCGCCCTAACCGCGTTCACCACTTTCAAAAATTCGAACACAAAATTCGGGTCTTCGGCCGTCAGGCGAGCAAAAGTACCGAAGTAACAGGTTCCTTTCTCAGCACTCGTTATACAGAGGTGAGAAGGCTTTCGTCCTAGATCTCCAGTGCCGCAGTTACGTCAACACTGGGTGAGCGAGTGCTGAGTGGAATTCAACACCGGCTATCGAGTGGTGAACAGCCTCCGAGCGCTGGCTATCCAGTGCTGAACGGACTCCGAGCGCTGGCTATCCAGTGCTGAACGGACTCCGAGCGCTGGCTATCCAGTGGTGAACGGACTCCGAGCGCTGGCTATCCAGTGCTGAACGGACTCCGAGCACTGGCAAGCGAGTGCCAAGTCACTGGAGTCAAGATTCAGCGCTGGAATTCCAGTTCTGTCGGAGCTTCAGCACTGGAAAAAAAGCCGTTGAGCACTAGAATTCCTGTGCGGAGTTTCCTTCCGTACAGGGCCCCGAGTGCTGACACCACCTTCCCCGCGAATTCAGCACTGGCTGGCCAGTGAGGAACCCGTTACTTCGGTACCCTTGCGTCAGGCGATCCGATGCGCGGTCGGACTGGTACATCAGGCGATACGGAATACCCCGTGTTGTATTTTATATATACGTACATAGTGTGATACATGTATATATGTAAATAATCATACAGGTATTACATATGTGCTAAAATGCATTCAATGAATGCATTATACATTCAATAAAATGCTGAATACATTCAATGAATGATAAATGCATTCATTGAATGTGAAATACATTCATTGAATGCAGAATGGAAATACTGCATTTATTGAATGCAGATTCTGCATTCATTGAATGCAAATACTGCATTTATTGAATGTAAAGTACATTCATTAAATGCAAATTACATTCATTGAATGGTAGAATTTCTGTTTTTAGTTGAGAACATGTTCAAAGTAGCTGTTTTATTTTTCTATCTTTTTTAAAACCAACATTATTACAACACTTTTATTAATCATAATTATTACTTTTATTAATTATAATTATTATTATTGTTGTTACACTGCTTTTATAATGTTGTGCGTAAAATTATTTTTGTGGTTTCTTGTCTAAAGCAAAAGAAATAAAGAAATTGTTTTTGAACAGATGACTTTAATGAGACGAGGAAAGAGCCCAGGGAGCATGCTGGGATACCATCCTCCCGGCTGGAGCGACACAGTGCACAGAGATTACCCACAATCCTCCAGTCCACGTCGCAAGGTGCCGCCTCCGGACCATGCAGTCTGCTCATCCTGGTGAGAGTCTGCTTTACTACTGTAGCTATTCAGTCTGTCTTGTCATGTTGCATTTTTACCCTGCTGGCAATACTGGGCCATGTTGATTCTGCTCATCCACAACCCTAAGGAACACAATGCAAGCCTGGTGCTGTCAGGAGGAGTGTGTGTGTGTGTGCCTGTGTGTGTGTGTGTTTGTGTGTGTGTGTGTGTTTGTGTGTGTGTGTGTGTTTGTGTGTGTGTGTGTGTGTGTGTGTTTAAGGTTTGTTAGACGGAGAGTTAATTCTTCTGACATGTTGATTCTGAGGCAGAATCCTGGACCAGGGTCGGGGGTTTGTTTGTTTGTTTGTTTGTGACTGTTGTTTGTTTCTGCAGGTACTCCATGGAGGCAGTATCCTGGACCAGGGTCAGGGGTTTGTTTATTTGTTTGTTTGTGTGTGACTGTGTTGTTTGTTCCTGTAGGTTCTCCATGGAGGCAGTATTCTGGACCAGGGTCCGTCCATCCTGGGTTCCAAACAGTCGGACATCAGCACCTTTACCTCCACCTGTGAGTCGGTGATCCAGGCGCACTTCCCCTCCATGTCCGGCCAGGTGTGCATCCAGCTGGTCACCTGCCCACGCGCCTGTGTGGAGGCACTGTCTCTGCTGACCAGGTGAGACACCTGTGTGTTTGTTTGTTTGTTTGTTTGTGATGCCAGGTGTGCATCCAGCTGGTCACCTGCCCACGCGCCTGTGTGGAGGCACTGTCTCTGCTGACCAGGTGAGACACCTGTGTGTTTGTTTGTTTGTGATATCAGGTATGATGTTATGTGTGGAGGTCAGGGTACTACAGTAACTAAAAAGACAGTTAAAATTGTTTGACCATGTCCATGTTTTTGTGAAGAAAGTTAATGTACTTCTACAAACTTGTGTACAGTGTAAGCCCGTTCAGCACAGAGGCAGTGTCGCCCCACAGTAAGGCTCGGGTGCTGAGTAAGGAACACCTGCCCATCGGAGCCATGCCTCTGCTCGCTGCCGTCAGCGCAGACTTCCCCGAGCACGTGGCGGCCGTCATCAGCCGAGCAAACCAGGTGTTCCACGACTTCCTGGCCTCACCTGAGGGAGCCGGCTTCTGTGGACAGGTAAATATACTTACACCTGAGGGAGCTGGCTTCTGTGGACAGGTTAATAGCTCTACCTAAGTTACAGAAGAAAAATTGTTTTGGCCAGTTTCTTCTATAAAACTTCTTCTTCTCCTGTACCTGATGGCTGTCACCATGGTAACTGGTGCTGTAGCAGGCACCCTGTGGTGTTGGATTTTATTACGTAGCAAGTGGCAGGACAGAGTTGAAGGGGTTGGGCACCAAATATATGAATGTATTTGAATAAGAGTAACAGAGCAGTATCCTTGGGTACGAGGCGCTGCAGTGTGTGAATAACCATGGTAACAGTAACCATGGTAACAGTAACCATGGTAACCGGTCCGTCGTGTTATTCAGGTATGTCTGATAGGTGACTGTGTGGGCGGTATCCTTGGTTACGAGGCGCTGTGTGTGAGCCAGGACCACAGCCCCTGCAGCCCGTACACGCCCTGCACACCTGGGCCTGCACAGGACGGCAGCCCCGGAACACCTGCCGGCACACCTGCCGAAACACCTGGGCACGGCACCGACTCACCTGCCGAAACACCTGAGGGGCCCAGCTGCACACCTGAGGGGCCCGGGTTGGGTCCGGGTCTGGAGGAGAGTCCAGCCGACTCCGACAGAGAAGTCTCGTCTCCCAGCTGCAGATTTCTCAGCATGCCGTCTGGTCAGGACCCCGACTCTTCCACCGGGCAGTTCCACCTGTCCTACGGCAGTCCGGACCTTACTGCAGCAGGTGGGCACCTGTGTGTGTATGTGTGTGCATGTGTGTGTTTTGTGTGTCTGTGTTTTTTACTTGTTTTCGGGACCAGAATGGTTGCAGAGAATTTTGGGTAAAGAGGTGACGTGTGCCATCCCTGATTGCGTTGTGTTTCCTGCAGGAGACCAGCCTATAGCTATGAAGTGTGTTTGTTTGTATGTATGTTTGTGTGTCTGTGTTATTTACTCTGTTTTGTGTTTCCTGCAGGAGACCAGCCCATGAAGTTTGATTTTGAAGTTGGGGATTTTTTCCTGTTTGGGTGTCCTCTCAGCCTCATCCTCATTCTGCGGCAGTTAGCAGCAGGGAGCGACAAGAAAGGTGAGGCAAAATAATGTATTGCTAAAACTCGGTACATATAATGACATATAATTCATAAAAATAATGTAATATAAGGTTCATGCAGCTGATCAGTAGTGATGTAAAAAGTCTCTTTCATCCCTCTCAGGAAGTCGTCTTGTTCGATGGCCAGAATTCTTACTGTGTCCAGTGAAACAGAATGTCGGTGACTCGATGTAAAGTGAAATTTCTTCTCCTTTTACTTTTACATTGTTACTTTTACCAGACTAAGTTTCCTGCTTTTGTATGTCGCCAGTTTGCCCCGCCCAGCCGGCGTGTACCCAGGTGTACAACATGTTCCACCCGACCGACCCTCTGGCTGCCCGGCTCGAGCCTCTGCTGCAGGACCAGTTCTCTCACATCGCGCCAGTCTCTGTCTCCAGATACCACAAGTTTCCTCTGGGAGATGGAACCACTAACTTACTGGGTAAGCACAAACTTACTATAAGCACAAACTTACTGGGTAAGCCATGTTCATGTCCCTATAATCTATCCCCCTGTGTCTGGTTTAGTTGATGGAAAGGATATAGATTATTCCATCTGTGTGTAGTTGACACAGTTCAGAGCCCCCCGAGCCTGTTTATGTCTATGCTGCTGCTCCAGCCTGCTGTATAATGTATCCCGCAGTGCATTTTTTTGTCCCCTGCAGTTGACACACAGTTCAGAGCCACCCCAGCCTGTTCATGTCAGTGCTGTATAATCTATCCCCCTGTGTCTGGTTTTGTTGATGCAGTGCCTGTTTGTTTCCCAGTTGACACAGTTCAGAGCCACCCTGTACATGTCTGTTTTTGTTGATGGAAAGGCAGCTGTTATATTTAATAATGTATAATTATATATCTGTGTTTAGTTGACACCGTGCAGAGCCAACCCAGCCTGTTCATGTCGTCCCTGCTGTATTATTATGTATAATTCCCCGTGTTTGTCCCCTGCAGTCGACACAGTTCAGAGCCACCCCAGCCTGTTCATGTCCACGCTGCCTCTCCAGACAGAAGAGCGACGCCCCAGCGAAGCCTCCGTCTCCAGTCAGACTTCGCAGGCCTCTGGGCAGGGAGAGGCCTTCCACTGCCTGGCTAACGGTAGGTTATCAATCAATCAATCAATCAACCAATCCTCCGGGCAGGGAGAAGCCTTCCACTACCTGGCTAACGGTAGGCTAGCAATCAATCAATCAATCAAATCTATCAATCAATCAATCAAACCTCTGGGCAGGGGGAAGCCTTCCACTACCTAGCTAACGGTGGGTTATCAATCAATCAATCAATCAATCAATCAATCAATCAATCAATCAATCAATCAATTCTCAGGGCAGGGAGAAGCCTTCCACTACCTGGCTAACGGTAGGTTATCAATCAATCAATCAATCAATCAATCAATCAATCAATCAATCAATCAATCAATCAATCAATCAATCAATCCTCCGGGCAGGGAGAAGCCTTCCACTACCTGGCTAACGGTAGGCTAGCAATCAATCAATCAATCAAATCTATCAATCAATCAATCAAACCTCTGGGCAGGGGGAAGCCTTCCACTACCTGGCTAACGGTGGGTTAGCAATCAATCTATCAATCTGTCAATCAATCTGTCAATCAATCAATCCTCCGGGCAGGGCGAAGCCTTCCACTACCTGGCTAACGGTAGGTTAGCAATCAATCAATACATTGATAATATTTTAGATATGATCACAGGTTTTTCCTTTGGTTTTTATTAAAATTTAGGAAAAACAAAGTTGAGATGACAGAAAAAGTCCCAGGCTGGACTGATGAACACTTGACTGATGATGGAAGTTGAATGAAGAACCAAAGAATTTTCTCCTTTCTCTCTCCACAGTCACAACGAGGTGGTGGGGAGCGAAGAAACTAGACTATGCGCTGTACTGTGTTAGTACCAGCTGGGCTGATGGTGTGTGTGTGTGTGTGTTAGTACCAGCTCGGTGGGGAGCGAAGAGGCTAGACTACACCCTGTACTGTGTTAGTACATGTTACATGTACCAGCTGGGCTGATAATGAGTGTGTGCGTGTGTTGTTGCAGTGACCACTCGCTGGTGGGGAGCGGAGAGGCTTGACTACGCGCTGTACTGTGTTAGTACCAGCTCGGGCTGATAGTGTGTATTGTTGTTACACTAACGACTCGCTGGTGGGAGCAAAGAGACTAGACTACGCCCTGTACTGCCCCGAGGCCCTCACAGCTTTCCCTCCATGACTCTGCCCTGTACTGTGTACTGTGTTAGTACCAGCTGGGCTGATAGTGTGTATTGTTGTTGCAGTAACCACCCGCTGGTGGGGAGCAAAGAGACTAGACTACGCCCTGTACTGCCCCGAGGCCCTTACAGCCTTCCCCTCCATGACTCTGCCCTACCTGTTCCACGCCAGCTACTGGGAGTCCACTGATGTCATCGCCTTCATACTCCGACAGGTGCGTAGAACACCTCCATTGTCTCACCTGCACACACCTGCCATATCAGACAGGTGCGTAGAACACCTGCAGTCTCACCTGCACACACCTGCCATATCAGACAGGTGCGTAGAACACCTGCATTGTCTCCTGCACACACCTGCCATAT